AACAACTATTGATTGATTCATTGTAAAAATCAGTCAACCGTTCAACTTCACATAGCAATTAGCTTTATATGATAATTAACTTAATGCTAATACTCTTCCTGACAGCATCTCTTCCTGTCCCCCAAGGGAACTGATCTGCTTCCATCTAGTGGAAATTAAAAAACAGGTGGTTCCTATGACTAGAAAATAACTCCGGGTAGATTGTGCCAGAAAAGACTTTCACTCAGTGGTTGTGAGCATGAAAGAAAGCTTTATATCTTGTGGATTTCCTGCCCACAGAGACAGGGAGCCCAGCCTAGAGAAGGATCTAGGACCCCATCTACACTATCAAATGGAAGATAGGGCAATAAAACAAAATAGAATAGAAGAACCTCCACTGACCCTATGTACCCATCCAGTTCCCCGCCCCGCCCAGCCCCCAACTCGCTTGTTTGCTTCTAGCCAAGCTGTTTAAAAGAGATGACTGACATGTTCTGCCTCTAGTTTCTCATCCGCGCTGATTCCTCCACCCCTGGCTATCAGACTTCTGTCCTGACCTCAACACAGAAAACAGTCTCCCCACCGATACCCGTTATATCCAGTGGAAACTTACTGGTTCTCCTGGCAGCATTTCAAACAATTTCCATTTCCTTCTTTCCTTAGCATTCTTTTTTTTTAATTTTTGTTTATTGCAGTAACATTGGTTTATAACATTGTATAAATTTCTTTCCTTAGCATTCTTGACCCAAACTCTCCTCGTTTTCCTTCTGCCTCTCTGGAAACCTTTTCCCATTCTCCTTTTCCTTAGCTGACTTGTTCGCTATTGATGTTCCTCCAGTTCCCGCCATCTCTCCCACATCCTCTTCCAATCTCACACTGCACAGTCTCCCTGGATGTTCGTGCCTGCTCCTGAGATAGCAGTTACCTCTTGTCATGTGAGAACCCCCAAATCCACTTCTGCCCTAAGGTAGCCCCCGGGCTAAAAGGACCTAAAACTCAACATGTGCAAAACTGAACCCATGATCTTCACCTCCAAAACTTCTCCTTCTTTTGTGTTCCCTTCTCAGTAAACAGTGCAGTATAGACAGTAACCATCCATCACTTCCCAGATCAGAACCATGGCAACTTATTTGATTCTTCTCTCTCTGTTAGCCAATTAGTAACCATATTCAGTTGATTCTACCTCCCCTTATCTCATGAACTCATCCTTACTGCTATTTCTCTAGACAGGCACCATCAGCTTTAACCTAATAACTTCAAATTCCTCCAGAATACTTTGCCTCCGGGCCCAACCACTTCCCATGTTTGCATACTTTTGTGTAGAGTGATCCTCATAGATCAAATGCAAAGATCCTCAAGATGCAAATTTCAACGTGACATTCACCTGCTTTAACCCCCATAGTGATGCCCCAAAGACCTCAAGATAAAGTCCCTACTCTTGAATATGGCTTATAAATTACTTTATGATCTGGCCCTCATTGCCTTATAGACACAACACCCCAGTTTCTCTTTTGCGTTCTAAGCTACAGCTCACTGAACCATTAAGAACTTCTCAATAACAGTGTGTGGTTTGTAGGATGGTTGTCTGAACAAGCAACCAACCTCCTCAGGGACCATCCTGCTTCATTCCCAGCATTTTAAAAGGAGCTCAGTTGTCTAGCTGGGTACTTATATGTCACCAAAGTCTCATCTCCATGGTCTTTTTACTTACACTCTCCTTCCTAAAATTTCAAAGCAAGTCACTAAACCACTGAAACTGAGAAATGTTTTGCCATCCTCATTTCTGCCAAATGGACCATGTATTTTCACATGTCTGCATCTCTTCTCAGTATGTGTTTCTCCAACTGAAGACATATGAAGTTCAAGACCCAAGTAAAAAATTGCCTTTTGGGAGAAGCTGCAGGTAGAATTCCTGCTCCCCACCTTTTCCATATTTCTAAGGTCAGTGCTTATCAGAAGAGTAGTCATTTACCCTCTCGTGCTAAGCATTGAGGGCCTGGGGTCTGGAATTATACCTTCTTCTTAGACCCTGAGATTCATTTGTTTTATCAATAAATACCTGTTGAATTGAATGTTTCCTGAATACTGTATCTAGTATTGCCCTCATGTTTATCCAGGACGAGAGGAAATATACCATAATGCTTCCAATCCTCAATGAAAATTCAGGGACAATCAGAAAGATCTCCCTTTACATAACTGCCCCTTTTCTTTTTTTCTTTGGTGAGGAAGATTGGCCTTGAGCTAACATCTGTTGCCAATCTTCCTCTTTTTGCTTGAGGAAGATTGTCCCTGAGCTAACATCTGCACCAATCTTCCTTCATTTTGTATGTGGGATGCCACCACAGCATGGCTTGATGAGCAGTGTGTAGGTGTGCACCCAGAATCCGAACCTGTGAACCCAGGCCACCAAAGCGGAGTGCACGAACTTAACCACTACACCATGGGGCTGGCCCCATAACTGCCCTTTCTTAATAGGGCATTACTTGTTTATGCATTCATTCAGCTCTACTAGCACTAAAAAACCCCACAGCTTTTAAGGGAGACTAAAAGAGCAATCATTTTACCTGGAAACTTCATTTGAATGAGACCCCATGTAAATAACTGCTAAGGAGTTAATGTGTGTAGCTATAACAGGAAGTATCTTAAGGTAGGTACAGATGTAGAAACTCTTCTCCGATAAAACTTACCTTCTCTGAGACTTCTTGCCTAAAAATAAAAGAAATAGAAAAATGGCATCAGCAAAAGTAGACAATTTCAACATTTTAAAGTAAGAGAGAAGAGAGATTCCCACTCTCAAAACTGTCTTTTGAAGTGAATTATGCATTTGTTTGGTGGGCCCCATCTGTGTCTAAGGGGATTTGAGGTACTGGCTTAACCTTCTAATTCAAGCAGTGGTAGATACTCAGACAGAACAGACCCACAGATGCAAATGATTCTCAGACTTCCACTCCATCCCCTGTGCTGCTCGTAAAGACAGAAGGCTAACCTGAACTGCCTGATGGTCAGGCCCAATATACCCACTCACGTGTTTATCCCTTCCTGACCTGCCACCTCATCCTACCTGCAGATTCTCCCCTGAGAAACTTACCTGCTAACACTGTAAGAATACGTGTCACTACATCTCACACCATCTTCTCTGTGAGAATCCACAAGAGAAATTTCACTCAGGTCTAGTGGTAGGAATTACACGCCTCGTCTGAGTAACCAATGTGTTTTTATCTTACAAATACAGCAAACATCACGACTGGTTCTGCTTCCTTCTTTGACTGGCTGCAAGGAAACTCGGAGCCAGATCTGAGACCCTCTGCTATCAAGTGGATAGGACTTTGTGATACACAATTTTGTGTCCTAACTTCACCCTTGGCTCCAACTTAGGGTACAACTTGTTGTACCCTAAATTTTGGTCTTCTTTTTCTTACTTCCTTTTGAACTAATTTCAACTTGCTATGTTGACGGCATTTTGTAGACTACCTTACATTGTTTTTGAAAAAATCAGAGTATAAATAAGTAGATAAATGAATGAACTGTACAATTGGGCTCCAGAGGAAATAAAAGCAAAAAAAAGCTTTTTGAGGAGAAAAAAAAAACCACTGGGAAGCAATACATTTCAGTGGCTATAAACTGGGGCTCTAGAATCATCCAATCTGGGTGCAAGTCCTATTGTACCATCTGCAGTGTGTCTTTGAATAGCTACTTATCCTCTTGAAGCCACAATTTCTTCATCTGTGAAAGAGGCATAATAATTACATCTTTCTTGTTAAGTTGATAAAATAAGATGTAATCAAAGTATTTAGTCCAGGCCCTAGAGGTTAGACAGTGTTCAGCTACTGTTTTAAACTTTTAAAATGTTTGAAATTACTATTTCAAATATTCTTCCAAAATTCAGCCTGCTGATCACATGGACCAAATACACTTGAGCAGGGAGAATTAAATCTGAATTCACATGCCGGCCCCATGGCTTAGCGGTTAAGCGCGCACGCTCCGCTACTGGCGACCCGGGTTCGGATCCCCGGCGCGCACCAACACACCGCTTCTCCGGCCATGCTGAGGCCACGTCCCACATACAGCAACTAGAAGGATGTGCAACTATGACATACAACTATCTACTGGGGCTTTAGGGAGGAGAAAGGAGGAGGATTGGCAATAGATGTTAGCTCAGAGCCGGTCTTCCACAGCAAAAAGAGGAGGATTAGCATGGATGTTAGCTCAGGGCTGATCTTCCTTACAAAAAAAAATAAAAAATAAAAAAAAATAAAAAATCTGAATTCACTTCAGATTCCATTCCTTTATCTTCATATAAATATATTTTTCTTTTAGGAACAATGAAATACGTAACAATACATGAGAAAGAATCTGTTCCTACTGAGAGAGTTTCTTTTTTGAAGAAAAGGGAACTAACAGGGCATGGGTTCAGTTTTGTGCCCTGTTCTAACCCGGTGAGTTGGCTTAGGTGGAAAATTCTTCCAATCGAGTTAAGAAATAGAGCCCCACTAACCTGAAGAGCAGTAGTTGGTTTTAGGGCGCATATCTAAATGCGAGTCTGATTTCTGACTCTCGCCCCTGCTGATGTGGGATTTTAGAGATTTGGCCTAAGACGTCATTGCCTCAGTTTCTCTTTTACCAGACAGGGCCAACGATAATAACTGATCAGAGAACGACGATGCTGGGGAAAAGTGTTTCTGGACAAGCTTATGCACAAGGGAGCATGTTTCTGGAGGCTGCCCTATGACTTCCTCAGAAGAAAGGAGCTAAAGTGTGGATATCAAGACAACTAGGGTGGGCCGGCGCCGTGGCTTGGCGGTTGAGTGCACACACTCCGCTGCTGGCGGCCCAGGTTCGGATCCCTGGCGCGCACCGACGCACCGCTTCTCCGGCCATGCTGAGGCCGTGTCCCACATACAGCAACTAGAAGGATGTGCAGCTATGACATACAACTATCTATCTACTGGGGCTTTGGGGGAAAAAAAAAAAAAAAAAAAAATAAAAAAAAAAAAAAAAGAATCCTTACTCATCTATGGCCTGGATGTGGAACCACAGTGCTAAACATACATCGTAAAGGACAGAGATCTAAGGTAC